ACCTTTTATTTATGGTCATATGTTATAACCTGCACTCTCAGATGAATTCAGTGTTTTTAAATTTGTAATATGCTGGATTGAACTTTGATTTCATTTCCTATTTATTTCATTATCAGTCTGTTGTGATCATTATGTGTTAGTATTTCTTGTTATACTTTCATACAATATAAAAGTGCTATTTGCTAATGTGTTTTTAGTCGTATAAAGTCTTAAAAGTTAAAAGCAAACTAATAATATGTAAAACATGTAAGTAAAGCTAACATGTGCTTTTTGAAAGATTGGGAAAACATAGCATTTCACTGATCACTGATCCCTAACAACAGAAATACTTGTATTTATAAATATTTCCTAAATTCTTAGTTGAATATTAACTAAATATAAAATGGTAGTTCAATACTAAAAAATTTAGACACTACTTAAGTTAAATGATTTGATTTTTGGTTACCATAACTTGAACTACAAACTTTTGAGTTAAGTTAGGATATTAATAAAAAGTTAACTTGAGAAGAGGCTTAGAATTTAAAATCATTAAAAAAGATAAACCAGATATAGTAATTCCCAACAAAAAAGACAGAAAAAGGGAAATCAATAGGAAAAAAAAAATGAGGAAACAAAAAAAATATAAAAAAGATTCACAATAAAAGGAGAAAATTTTTGGAAAATTTTGGAGAGAAGCATGAGTTGAAGCCCATATTAAAAATTGGTGTCAATTTCTCTTCTAAAAGTTAAACGATCAATAAATTTCCTAACTAAAGCTAGAGACTTTTTTTTTTCAAAGATAGTAACAGGATTAAGATGATTTAATTACATAAATAACTAAATTATATGATTAATATTAATTTTATATTAATTAAGCTTCATATAAGTAATTTAAAATGATTGTATGGATATTTATTATTATGTATTATATTAGGATATTAGAGGGCACTGTAGAAGTTCAATATGAAGGAAAAACAAGTCCACTATTACTATTATACATCTTTTGTACTATTGGGAAGCATTGAATAATTAATCACTCTTCACCACAACACCGAAATATTCTAATTTTGAGTTTTAAAGTTAATTGAGGGCAAGTAATGTTTAGGTTTGGAAGAATTCTGTGTACTGAATATTTGATCGTATATGTTCTATTTCAATATGATTTTATGTTAATTTTATACTTTTGAAAAATATTTGTGATGTATTTTGGAGGATTCAGGTTAGAAGGTTCATGGGACTTTGAGAAGTGAAGAATTGAGCAAAGCAGAAGAGCAGCGCTAAGGCACATGCATGGAGCGCCTTGGTGACCAAAAAACACTTTCGAACCAGCATGAAAGGGAACCCAAAAAATAGACGATGAGTTGCTGGAGTCTTAGGGCCATTACTTAAGCTCCTAAGCTCTACTTATGAGGGCATAGGCACCCAGAACTTTTGCATGTAAACCGAGCGGTTAGAAATGAGTTGATAGACTTTGAACTTTGAGGCGCTAAAAACCACTGGCTTGGTGCTAATTCACACATTTTGATGATTTGTTCCTTCGCAAATCAACGCATGAACCGCTCAAAACATCATTTACGGAAATATAAGTGAAATATTACGGAAGAAATAAAAATGAACAAATTTTTGGTGTGAGAGAGTCGAGTGCGGAGTTTTTATGAAATTTTTTAGTAAGGAATTGTTCTTGAATATTCAAAACATCATTTAGAGGAAGAAAGACAAGTTTTCAATCTTCTTGGTGAATTCCATCAGATTTTATCATTTCAACTCTTGTTTTAAATCTTTCTAATGAATGAAATGTTATTAGAGAGCGTATCTTCTTTTCTTCCTTGAATTGGTAATGTAGGAATTATAAGTTTGGTTTTTCTGATAAATTAAACAGTAATTTTTAAGTTTAGCCTATAAATCTCATTTACATTCAACGTGGCAGTTGGTTGTTAAAAATAGTTGTGATCTCTGGGTTTCAAAAGAATCATTAGTCGAACGACTAAGTTAAAACTATTTAACTTAGGAAAATAAAAATATTGCTTCTAAGTTAGTGTCATTCAAAAAGAAAATAAGAATCCTGCGCTAATTACTTGAATTAGGGAACTAAACACGTATGATTACCAAACATTCTAAGAAGTCCGAGAGGATATAAGAAGGAGAATTGCTCGTGATCGTCCCCACAATTTGAAACACTTAGTTGCACTTAGATTTGAACCATATCATGGGAGAATTTTTCAAGTGCTAAAAGATCTCAAGTGTATTCTCACCTCATTAACTTAGATTTCACTTTTAAAAAAAGTGGCATTAGTAACTTTTAAAAAGAACAAAACTTTGAACCTTCGGGCTAGATTCAAAACTAGTAAACATAAACTTTTCTGTAAAGAGTTCGCTCATTACTCATGGGATCAACACAGGAACTCAAATTTGTATACTATTTGAACAACACGTATACTTAAATGCATCACTAGTGCTTTGCCGCATTTGATTTATATCATCGTCTCGATGAAGCGCGATGTGTATGTAAGTCAGTTCATGAATCAATTTATCATAAGGAAAATGCAAACCAGATTGGCAAGCTAGTTTGCTAAGTCAATCAGACATATCAGCTTGACAGCCAGTGTAAGACAGCTGACACATCGACAAATAGAGTTGGCAAGTTGCCTCAGCAGAAACTCCAACAACAGTCATGTCTTGAATATATTAGCTAATCGGGCCCACGAGGCCTACTAGACGCAGGCTTTGAGCCATTAAGGCTAATTTTTTTTGTGCACAAATAATAATTCAAGTGCCATAAATGTAAGAATCATCATTTAGAATATCCTAAAAATGTCCCCCTTAACTAGCTCCTTACGATCCTTTTGAGAGTGAATCTTCACATAGATTTCTTAAAATATTACTACAGATTGCACAAAAAATTAAAAAAAAAATTGCATGAGAGAATTTTTACCTTGAAAAAAAAAACATTGGTCTTAGCTTTAAAAAACACACGAAAAAAAAAGATGAAAATGCTTTATGTATATGAATATATTTTTCTTATATTGTTGCATGCCGAGGAATTAGCGGTTGTAGAGTGATATAGTAACGTCTCATATATTTTTCTTATATTGTTGCATGCCGAGGAATTAAGTGATATAGTAACGTCTCGTTGTTGTACTAATATCCAACACATGCACAAAAGAAAAGAAAAGTTAAAAAGAAAAGAAAAGTTAAAAGAGGGGAAAACATGAGTTTTTACGTGAAAAACCCAAAATGATAAAAATCACGAGACTTGATCGAGTTGAAATGATTCTACTATATCAAACTAGTTTATAAAATTTTACTAGCCTTTGACTAGCCGAAAATAATATTACACAAGTGAAGATTATCGATGCAACTTCAATTTGGGGAGTGTTGTAATGACTGCTATGAAGAAAAACGGAAGGTAGATGTCAAGTGCCAGAAATTATGATGATATTGTCGTTGGTGGTGGTGTCAATAGGTCGATGATAATATAAGATGTACTGCATTAATTATTTTATTTCCTCTCTTTTATGTACAGAAGAGAAGAAAAATTAGAGGAGATGCTCTGAATTGCTCCCCTTCTCTTTCTCTCTCTATTCTCTTTCCATGAAATCCTATAACTTGGAACCCCTGAGGATTCACTTCCCTCCGACTTACCAGAGATCAGAATATAATACGTTTCCTGAAGTTCCCCCAAAAGAATCTCGTCCATCTCTTTCTCTCCATCGCTCTCTTTACAATACAAGTTTTTTTCATTAGGTTATACGTACTCACGAACAATATACCCGCATCTAAAATGATTCAACAATCCTAAAACAGGTTCTCCCGGGTTGTATCATATATGAGCTCACGAACAATACGGGATCCTATGTCTTGAAAAAATTCAATATTTACATATATATACGACTTTTTAAACTTTAAAATTGTGATATTATTGATGTGTGATATGAAAAACTCGTGCCATAATTTTCAAAAGCAAGTCTTTGTGAGATATTTAAACGTATAGGAATTAGGTGACATGCATGTAAATGTGAGATATTCAAAAGCAAGTCTTTGTGAGATATTATGAGCTCTGGAATTCTGGTTTTTACTTTAAGACGAGTATATATTGAAAAATATATATATTTTATAATGCACTCATTTTAAATCACATGCAAATATTTTAAAATTCATCCTAACTAAATATTAATCTATAATATATCTTTGTTAAAGCGAAGAAAAGAAAAGATTCGAGGATTGGTGTGTTCCTCACCAAAATAATGACATGTCAACAACGACAGCAACAAACCTTTATTCGACTAAGTGGGGTTTGGCTACATGAATCTGTTGTCTCTTTTTTCTTCATTGAATCCGACGGATCATGATGGGTACATGTCACTCATCCAATTAGTATTCTTGCCGATGGGATCCAATACACTGGTGCTGGTACGATAGTCGCCCATGAAATAATTAGTCAAAAATAATTAAAAAAATCTAATACTAAAGAGGGATACAGCTCAGCTGAAAACTGAATATTACTGAAAAAAAAAAAAAAGACAATTAGGTACAGTGCTTCTCATAATATCTCAAGCTCCAACAAAGAAGATATTATATAATATCAGCAAATTGATTAAACAATCAGTCCTTCACAAAAAATGATTCACTGCAAAATATCTTCAGGACATTGATATGTCATGTATCTGTTTTTTTAAATAATTTAGTGAAGTCTTTCCTTTATCTCTTGCTTCTGATTGAATGATTTCATGTGTGAATTAAGCCACAAAAAGTATAGATGTTTTTCAACTTTTTTGCTCATAGTTTGAAACTAAATAAAATTCTCCAGAAAAATGGGGAAATAAAAATCTATTTCTGTATTCAAGCTAAGAATCACACGTATTAAATTTGGGAAGATTTACATAATACTCAACATCTAATTTTTTTTACATATATGTACGTAATCTCACATATACAGGAAAATGTGCATTTCACTTTTTAAAAATTAAAATAATAGATATTTTAATGTGATTGTATGTACCAAAACTGTCAGCATAGATCGCAAAGCAATCGAACGGGCCAAATGACGGTGAGACGATCGAGCCGTGGTATCGTCCTACAACCAACCACGTGATCAATAATCGATTGATTCAACTATGGTGATAGATCAAAACGACATACCACACAAGTGATCCCGACCGACTAGAACACCAATGGGAACCTTTTATCTCGGCCAATAGACCGATCCATGTTTACCGTGCCAGACGAGATCGTAACTCGACCAGATGCCTCGACTGATCGACACACGACACAATAGCCACTCAGTGGTCGCCTCAGTCGGCCTAATTCATGCAAATTGGCTAGATAAGTATCACTATATTAGAATTCAAATTATAATATAAATATAGTATGAAATCTATACGACTAATTAGAACATCAAATGAATTAAGAGCAATTTCCATAACTGCTCCCTCCTTTCTAAAATTGTACAAAACACTCCTATACAAATAGGAGGAAAAAATAAGAATAAAGGAATCTCTCCCAATCTCTCTCGACAGTGAATTCTACGATTATCCCACTCTCTCTTCCTCCTCCGTTTGTTCTAACCCTTGGGGGCTGTTCGCACAGGACAATACAGGATTCCATACTGATATTATTGATTTGGTTGGTATAACTACAAATTTAAATATTATATATGTAAATACATAAAATTTGGGTTGAATGTATGTAAATGACTCTAGTTGATATATACCAAGGGTTTGCTCATTCAATGCACACATGTGAACCTTCCCTCAAGAATGAATGGTGCTTCACAATTAAGACACGTTGATGAGAAAAGACTAAAATCAACTCACAAAGACTATAAGCAATGTTTAAATATATATAAATAATATAAAAATAATATCTTTATCAATGAATAATTTAATTAAAAAGGAAGTTAAAAAAAAAAAACCCCCATACTAAATCAAAACATTATTGTTGAAGGTCAAGTATCCATTCGTTTGGTTGGGCCAAGTGAACTGTATGTTCGAACAAATATTTTATTAATAATTATAAAAATATTTAGTTTGGTAAAAAAATATCTACACGTCCGAACGGCCAAGCACTGGGCACCACACCGCCTGCCAATAATGTGTATGGCAACATAACATTCGGTGATTGACCGTCTGAACCTGCATTGACACCAGCATCTGATCTGCGGACTGTATGCTATCCAACCACACGAATTTTCCAAAAGCTAGCCGAAAAACGTAACATTTCACCTTTTCCCCACTATCGACTTTGAAAGCAGCTTTTGGCTGATTGCTTTATCTGCTTTTGATAAAGCGAGGAGAATGTGACACTGCCAAACACCACTATCCTGGGTGTTCAATAATTGCTTTTCCAGCAACAAAGCATGAAAAGCTCAAGCAGATAATTTATTATTATTATTATACAACCTTCTCAATATTTATGTATTTATATATTCAACACCAAATGTTTGATATTTATACTTACTACAGCTTTGCGTCATATAACCACTGCATGAAAATTAAAGATCAATTCTTATGTTTATAGGTATCTAACACCCAAAGTTTAAAATCTATATTTGAAAAAAATAATGATCGTCATTTTTCTTTATGTGATGTAAAAATTTTGAATGATATGCATGTAAATATGAATGTTATGAATGTTTAGGCATGGTATGTATGTAAATATCAATGTTTAGCCTTTCGTTCTTAATTTTATAACACATTCATTTTAACATTCCTATCTTCCCATGAAGTGTTAAATGAAGCTTATCATTGACTTTATGGCTAGAGAGCCAGAGATGCACCATGATAAACAGTAATTTGAGAGAAGCCTGTAACCCTTTATTCAAAGAATGATGCCATATTTATAAAGAAAGATGATACAATATGTGAAGTTATTCTAACTAGTTATTTTATGTATCTCCTACAAAGCATGAACCGACAGAAAATATAAGCACATCAATTAACATTTCCAATAATGAGGGTCCAACTAATGTTTCATCAAAGAACAAACTCACAGCATAAATTGTTTTCTACTTTCCGATGCTTCTATTTTTACATTGCAGTTAATATTTTCTTTTGAAACTTGCAAGTGGCTATCGGTGTCATTTTTTTTATTGTTTTCATTGATTTTTCTCTTTTTTATTTTAAAAGGAGTCGTCAGCTTGTTAATCGTTGTCTCATTGATTTTTCTCTTTTTTATTTTAAAAGGAGTCCTCAGCTTGTTAGTATCGCCAGCTTGTCGATCATCGTTACTTCCCTTATTCAAATAAATCTCCCTCCCAAAACATATCAGTGATTTGAAGAGGAGAGGAACCGAATAAGAAGGGACATATGACAAAATGACAAACAAAAAAAAAGTAAAAAGTGGAGTCTATATGCGATAAAAATCGAAATGATAGGTCAAAAATGTCCGCCTAAACAAGATCGGTCGGAGACACCTTAAACCAATATACGCGAAAGAAGTATCTACGTAACCTACTCATAACCAAAGAGTCAGGTGTATGTACCTGTTCTGGGTTCAAGAGCTCTCCTAGAAGAACGTGTTCCTACTAGTTAATTACATCTTGGGAGATACCTAAGAATACTCTCGATAGAAGGAGTTTCGCTTCATATAATCATAATCCTGAGGTATAGACAATTAAAGAAAGGTTATTTCGTGTGGGAACAATCCCGATGCTTCAAAGCTCAGGTTAAGTCATCGAGCAGAGAGTCAGTTTCTCATATCCCGAATTGATAGCGACTCATCGGCACATGGGGCCCACGAAATAACCTAAATCATCTTGACGGAAATATCCCAACACGTCCGGGCCATAAGGGCAGATGACAAATCGTCGTATCCCAAATGGGCGGCAGCTCATCGGCATCAAGCCGTCAAAATGATATCAACAAATTCAAAAGAGGGACAGAGCACAAAAGGGCTCAACAAAAAGAAAGACAACCCTAGAAGGTAAAGGTAACTAGGTCGGGGTATCACGAACCCGTCATCCATAGCTCTCTAAGTCTACCTGGTCGTGAAGGTAGTCAACCCAACACGTCCTGAGGTTCCCGGTTAGTAATCTATCAATGGTGTCGTCCACGGGAACCTCGATAACCCTAAGGTCAAAATAAGAAAATTTTATCCTATGACTATGAGCTAGAGCTTCAAGAGGTGAGACTTATACTTGTCGAAGTGGCAAGAATGCCTCAGGAAAGAAAAGAAAGTTGAGGTTCAACTACAAAGTTGAAAACGCTCCAAACAAAAGGACTTATACCCCGCTAGGTTGGGAAATCTTCTAACACCTTAGAAACATTAGGCAACCTTCTATATAAAGACATGTTAGACCAGTCAGGTTAAAGAAGTAGAACGCCTCCTCCCCGGGACATGCAAATATGAACGCAGTTATCTAAAACGGTATTTAAGTATTGTGGAGGTTCTATTAATATATGTAGGAAAGTAAAACTGCAATTTTTAAATCCAGAATATTTTAATCCTAAATTTTAATTATTTTGAATATCTTATTTAGGATTTTGTAGAAAATTAGAAATTTCCTAAATAGTTTATATTGCATGGTGATCCTAGACAAACCAAATAAGAAAATAAGGAATACAATTCAGGCAAGTGTAAGCATGCAACATGATGCAAATAACAAAACAAGTCAAATCAAAATAATAAACAGTCTAGTACCGCTGTGTCGACAACATATCTCAAAAAAGAAAAATACGATCAAACTCCGCATATACATGCCCGGTCAATATAAAAATGTTGATTTAAGATATGGGGCACGGGCATCTGCTCCTAATCCCCTCCACGTGGTTCCAGAGCTAACGTCTCGAAACTCATGCCTGCATTTTATTTCTTCTACAGAACTCTCCTATACACTAAAAAAATACATAGGAAAAGAAAAGACGCAATCCTGCATGAAAACAAGCGCTAGCGGGAAAACTCACATGCATATGACATATAACAAAAAAAAAAGACGCAATCCTGCATGAAAACAAGCGTTAGCGGGAAAACTCACATGCATATGACATATAACGAGTCATGCCATAAAAGTGAGGGAGCTAAATAGCATCTGCAAGCAAAATGGTCAGAAATCATCACATGCTCCCCCAAAACAGTACCTCTGTGTGCATAAATAGGCATGACTCCCTGCAAAAAAAACACTTTAACACACTACCACACATATACAATATGCAATCACACCACAAACACAATGCAAAAGAAAGATATCTGGCTAGAGCAACCAATCCAGCAGAAATCCAGCAGAGAACAATAGTGAGAACAATAGTCAGACATAAAAAAAACTACCTAGCACCCTAAATCCTAGCCTAACACACCATCTAACAAAAAGTGTGTCAACCTAGTGTCTAAGTGCGAGGTAAGTCTGGGTATAGTATGACTTTAACTAGGTCGCTATACTGAACCCATCCTAAAGATCCAAAGGATCTAAAGGGTGTCACGAAGCACTGAAACAAGTTAGATCTATTAAATCTTTCGCATAGTCATACTCATGTCAATCCTGATGACTTCACTCGCATTGCTCCCCGAGATCAACCCAGCAAGCAATGCTTGTTAAGACATCATGACCAACACGGGGTCACTCTCCCAACGAGTAGGACAAGTCATTGAGGAATGTTCAAAACACAGTAATAAAGAAAGCCCACATTGTGATTGCTCGACCGAAGTACATAACAATCACAACAGGCGCCCAAAAGCGCGAACACAAACCATACAAATGAATGCAATGATACTACATGCAACATGACACACACAAACGGGATGTACCAATAAAACAGACTATCTAGAAAGAGAAATTACACTTGCTCGGGGACCGGGACCCGGTATGCCATGCAACTAGCAGAAACCGGCTATAGATGAGTCTGCATCAAGTAAAAGAAAACATGTAAAGGGAAATTACACCTTACCCGAGAGGCACTCACCGAGCACACATGCAAACATGCAGGATATGCATCAAACATATGACAAGTGCACCAAAGTCGTGGGGATCAGTATGTCAAGACGGCGGGCCCAAAAGATGAGTATGCCGAGGAGGCAGTGACTTGAGGATGGACATACCGTAGCGACAGAGGCCTGAACAAATGGTATGCCGAGGAGGCAGTGACATGAAGATGGGCATACCGTAACGACAGTTGCCCGAACAAATAGGTGTGTCAAGGAAGCAGTGAACAAAGGATGTGCATACCGTGACGGCAGTGACCCATGCAGAGTATGTCGCGGAGGCAGTGACCCGGAGATGGGCATGTCGTGATGCCAGTGGTCTGAACAAAAGTGCAATGCAAACAAGTGATGATGCTCATGCAAACG